GGGGGGGGGGGGCTCTCCTGTGCATTGTCCATTATTAGCAGCACCTATTTCCTCTACCTACTAGATTTCAGTAGCATCCGCACTTCCCCAGCATGACAAAAAAACATCTACAGACATTGCCACATGTTCCCTTGCAGAGCACATAATTACCCCAGAATGAGATCACTGCTCTAGAATAATGCTTAACACATAATAAGCACCCCCAAAATACAAATTAATATATATTTAAACCACAGCTGCCCAATCTTTGGGCATTTACTTATTTTATGCCACCATTTCCTCTAAATTCTTAGAATTTGTGGTTTGAAATATTGTAGGTATGCAGTCATCACAATACTTTTGCTTGTAGACAAATGTTCTAAGTGTTTTAACTTACCTAGAACAGAGGTTTTGGGGCATTTTGCTATTAAAATACTTTGAAACATTATTTTTGAGAACCTGGTTTTCTAAAAGCCAAAGTGTGCTCTTACAAATGTCTGGTGTGTGTGTGTGTGTGTGTGTGTGTGTGTGTGTGTGTGTGTGTGTGTGTGTTTGTGTTTCAAAGTGTTGAGAGACTTTAAGAATCACATCAGTAAGATTAGACTATCTGTGATGTTGAATGAATATGCCTGGTTAGTTGTTAAGGGAAGAAGGGAAGGATCTGGGGGAGAGAATCCATCTGGGGAAAGGAGAAGGGCCCAGAGAAGGGAATATGCATGCCCTGAACTACTTCTTACAATCTACGTTAAGCAGAGGACATGAATTGATAGAGTGAAAGCATTTTAGGGTTTTATTCAACTTCCTAAAAGTTTTATAAAATAACTTCACTTAAGAGGAAATAAGTGACATTGCACATTGTCTTTTTTTTTTTTTTAATTTTTTAAATTTACATCCAAATTAGTTAGCATATAGTGCACCAATGATTTCAGGAGTAGATTCCTTAGTGCCCCTTACCCATTTAGCCCATCCCCTGTCCCACAACCCCTCCGGCAACCCTCAGTTTGTTCTCCATATTTATGAGTCGCTTCTGTTTTGTCCCCTCCCTGTTTTTATGTTATTTTTATTTCCCTTCCCTTATGTTCATTTGTTTTGTCTCTTAAAGTCCTCATGTGAGTGAAGTCATATAATATTTGTCTTTCTCTGACTCATTTCACTTAGCATAATACCCTCCAGTTCCATCCACGTAGTTGCAAATGGCAAGATTTCATTCTTTTTCATTGCCAAGTAATACTCCATTGTGTATATATACCACATCTTCTTTACCCATTCATCCCTCGATGGACATTTCAGCTCTTTCCATACTTTGGCTGTTATTGATGACACTGCTATAAATATGGGGGTGCATGTGTCCCTTCGAAACAGCACACCCGTATCCTGTGGATAAATGCCTAGTAGTGCAATTGCTGGGTCATAGGGTAGTTCTGTTTTTAGTTTTTTGAGGAACCTCCATACTGTTTTCCAGAGTGGCTGCACCAGCTTGCATTCCCAGACATTACACATTGTCTTAATTTATTTCTCTGAAGAAGTTGTACATTGATACTTAAAATGTGAATTTTAGAATATTTCTATTTTTGCTAAAAGGAAAGCAAAGTATCACCATTCAGAACCAAGGTAGATATGCTAATAAGTGTAAGGCGTGAAATTGTTCTGGAAATATGATAATGAAAATTTTATCATGATGCCTCTATATCATAAAAAGATTTAGGTGAGTAGTAAGCTCTTAGTGTTTTTTTTCCACAGCACAATTCCTTTGGGTTTTGGTCACTCTTTCCTTGTAAGGTGGTTGCTTAGCACAGTTTAAATTTCCACCATTAATGTCCCTCTGGAGATGGTTGTAAGTTTTTGAGGGGAGAACTATTATTAAGTTTGGTACTCTTTAAGAAAGATTATTTTTGTTCTTTCATACCATTAAGGATAAGAGGAAATGGGACATGAATATAATAGTGATATTTAAATTTTTTTTTTTTTACTGTTTATTCATTTTTGAGAGACAGAGAGACAGGTGTGAGTGGGGGAGGGGCAGAGAGAGAGGGAGATACAGAATCTGAAACATGAAACAGGCTCCAGGCTCTGAGCTGTCAGCACAGAGCCTGACATGGGCTCCAACTCACAGACCACGAGATCATGATCTGAGCCGATATCAGATGCTTAACCAACTGAGCCACCCAGGTGACCTTGGCCTATATTTCTTTAACGTACTATTTTAGATTTTAGAGGGAAAATGTTTTTGCCATTCACTGTGTAAGAAGACTCAGTACCATGTTTATATGTATGTAACCTGAACCAGTATTAAGTAGAGTGGCATTTGAGTGACTAGTATTTTTGTACTAAAGAAGGGAATATCTGATTTTATTTAGAAACTTTTTTTTTTATAGATAGGCTACTATTTGAAATTTCGTTTTTTTTCTTTTTTCCAATTATTATAAAAACTAAAGCTTACATAGAATGTGCGTGGAGATATAATGAAGAATTCTGTAGAGGCTGGAGATGATTTTGAGTATAGAGGCTGTTTGGTACAAAATCATAAGGACATTTAAAAAGATAATGTTGTTCTTGGCAACAAAGTGTAGTGTTATTGTAGGCATTTATCTGGTCTATTGCTTTAGAATGTTAGTAATTTACACTTTTAGAGAGCAACTTAATTATTTTTGCTTCTTCTGAGATCATTTTTATGAACCCGAATGACTCCTGGACACAACTTTCAGTGAAGGATTTTATGATGTATGTTCCTAGAGTTTTAGCTTTAATGGAAAGGAGAAGAGTTTATAACTTTGGGGAAATTTTTAGTTCATTCTTCTTATGGTACATTATTTCGCTCATTTGGGGTATAGAATAAAAGGTAGTTCTTGAACGTTCCTCCTGAGCACAAAGTGCTTCATGGGAATGTTGCTGTGAAGTGGCAATCACATTGCCAGTTTTGTGTGCTGGTGTTACTGTGCCGTTCCCAAACACTTTATACTTTGGAGATGATGTTGCTGCCTGGTAACTTTTATTATCTTAGAACGGAAAGGCCTTTTTTTTTTTTTTTTTCCTTCATACTGTCTCCAGGGTTATTTACTACCCAGAGAGAGTTTCACTTTGAAGTTTGATGGGTTCTTCTTTTCTCACAATAGCCACCAGGTTTTGAAATTTGGGCAAAACGCTCCTCCAAGCCACTTTATTTAAAAACTTCATATTCTTTGTATGTATTTTCACCTTTTTATTAAATTGAAGTGTGTTAGGCTATAATGAATGCTTTAGAACTGGGTTGCCCACCGTAACGACTGGCCACATTGGCTATTTTCATTGTAATTCATGAAAATTAAATTTTAATTCCTCAGTTACACCAGCCACATTTCAAGGGCTCAACAGCTACATGTGTCTAGTAGTTGCCATATTAGACAGTACAGATCTAGAACATTTCCACCATCGCAGACACTCCTGTTGGACGCACTGCATTAGAATGGGGGATGGCAGACTGCAACCCGGGAGCCCAGCCTCATCTACCACTTGTTTTCTGTAAATAAAGTTCTATTGCCATACAGTCACGACCGCCTGTTTACATATTGTCTGTGGCTGCTTTCAGGCTATAACAGCAGAATTGAGTAGTTGAGACAGACCATGTAGCTCACAGAGCCGAAACAATTTTCTTTTATGCCTTTGCAGAAGATTTCCACCCCACTGTCCTGTGTGCATACTCATGATTCTTAAAGGTCAAGTTGTTTTCCCAAACGACTTTTTTTTTTTTTAATGTTTATTTGTTTATATTTGAGAGAGAGGGGGAGACACAGAATCCGAAGCAGGTTCCAGGCTCTGAGCTGTCAGCACAGAGCCACTTGTGGGGCTCAAACCCACGAATCGTGAGATCATGACCTGAGCCGAAGTCAGATGCTCACCCAACTGAGCCACTGAGGCACCCCCTGTGTATGCGTATTCCTAAAGTTGAGGTTGTTTGGATAGCATAGTTATATGTGCATATTAGCAGTGTAACATATTACATAAGGCAGATTATCACACTCCAAATAGTATCCAGACCAGAAGAACAATCGTCGCCTTTTAGGAACAGTAAGAAGTCCTTCTCTGGCAGATCACATTCTTTCCAAAATGAAGGGAATGAAAGAAGGAGAGCACCAGCAAGAGCACATACAACAGGGCAGTCTACTCACGGTGTGCTGGACAACTGGCGGAATTAGTGCACTGTTGGCAAGAGGCCAGTCCATCTGAGTGCTGGCCCATCATCACACTTGGGCCCTGAGTCCTGTTGGGAGCAAGGAATGGAATCTGCGAAGGACCCAGGACAGCTAGAATATTAATAGAGGGAGGTGGGTGAAATTCATCTATTATGTTAAACCTAAAACTCTTTCCATTTAGACTTAAATAGGAATGTATTCAAAAACTGTTTATTTCATGAATAGGGTGCTTAGTTTTGAATTTTGGTTGATTGAATCATTTTAATACTTCACTGTCTTTTTTATCTTGTGGAATATCCAACAAATTTAGTCTCTTAGATGGCAGGTGAAATATTTAAATCCATTTTGTTTTATCATTTTGCATACAGTTTTCTTGAATAATACTATTTTAAACCCTGGAGCTTTTCCATTTTGGGGGACAGCATGAGCTTATTTTTATTTTGTCTGTGTGTTTGGCTTATAGTTTTATATGCATACATATATGCATGCATAGGTTGTACCCCACATAAGTTTTGTCTCTGAGGATTCTGTAAAACTGATTTTAAAATACCTACACATAGACACATACACACATAAGTATGCATTTCTCGTTGTTGTCAAGTTGTAAATTGTAATGCAACCCAATAAAAATAAGCTTTTGATGTTGGCCTAATAGAGCTGTCTTTGTTACTTTTTGTTACTTTCCCAGGTTTAAACTAGCACAGTTTCTTATTCAAAGTGCCCTTGCTTCTGTTTTGCCACAGCTTCAGTGAGTGCCTTATAAAGCCTGACCCTCACTGGAGCAGATTATAATGTAGCGTGGATTGCTAAATTTAGAGAGAAGCCAGACCTCTGCTCTAAATAGTAACAGCTAAGCGATAGAGACTTGCTGCGCAGAATATCTTCATTTAGTCTTTCAATACCAGTAGGTGAGTTTCTGTTTGTGTTTGTTTTAATATTTGCTGTTGTGTTCGTCAAGATCTTTGTATGCTTTTTTGTTTGCATGTTTATTATGTTATCTTCCACATATAGTATATGGAGAGTGTGAATGGTAAGCCCAGGGAACTAGACCACGAAGAAACAAACTTTTGTGTTTAGAACTGAAGAAAGTATAAATATAAATGGAGCTAAAGATTTTTAAAATAGAGTAACTCTGTCGTTGGTAGGCTGGGTTTTGTGGTGATTCCTCATTAGCAGAAAAAGAGCAACAAAATGCAAAGGTAGAGGTAGAGAATTCTGTGAGTTTATCTTCTGGACCTTAAAATAAAACTCTTAGTGAAGGCTCACACTTCAAAAGTATTTTTTTATTGATTACAAAATAGAGACATCTTTGGCAAAGAGTAACTCGTTCCTGCGTGTTCATCTGCTGGAAAAGCTTCTGGCTACCTGGGGTCTATTTTTCTTATATATCAGTATGAGCCCTAAACTCTTTACCAGGTGTTTTTCTTTGCTGGCACAAGAAAACATTTTATGTGATGTTTGTAACGTTTGGGGAGGGGGGTAGAAACTATAAACATGTAAGCGCGCGCCCATTTATCACATGTACCCCCAGTGACCTGTTTGCTAATCCAGAGTGAATCTGCTGAAAATGCCAACGAGGAACTTTCTGAATGAGTTTTGTGGTGAATGTAAATAATGCATGAGAAGCTCTGTTTCTGACTTGTATCAAATAGAGTTTATTGCATTTGTAATTATTTCAGTATGTAGCAGCTGCCCCAAACACCAAGAGCCATCACTTTCTCTGAGCTTGTTCTAGGTTGTACTTCTGTTGAGTTGTAAATGTTTGTGGATTTTATCTCCCCTAGGCGTGCTCCTTGAGGGCACGGAATCTGGCTTAGTCACCTTTATATCACAAAGCATGATATATTAAGTTCACACTATAGTATTAATAAAAATTATCTGTACTGAAACTATAGAAGAAATTTTTGTGTTTGTTACTTTATTTTTTAATCAATTCCACTTAAATTATGATTAAAATTTTGAGTGATAAGCAGATTGCTTTCTATATGAAGATAGGAGATTTTCTTCTTTTGTTTGTGGAAAGAAGGTTTTGGTGTATAAAGTGAATAATTTTTCCATGTTATTGAAGATTTTTTTTAAACTTTGAGACATAAATAATTCGCTTAAATACTGCAAATTTTCTTGATTGTTTAATAGTGACTTAATCAGAAAAAATCTAAACATTTTCAAATCACAATTTAAAGAAGACCCTTGAAAGGTAATTAAATCATTTGCTTGACATTCTCTTAAATTGTTTGGTCTTCATAATTTCGGCAACCTGGATATATCTTCAGGTTATAATATTAATGCCAACAAGGTTATTCTTAAGTTGTAAAAGATCTTATGGAGCGGGGTTTTTTTTTTTTACTTTTTTTAAAAGATAATTGATTCTGTTTAAAATTTTCCTTGCAGAGAAAAGCAAAAATTGCATATACTCTCTTTGTAACCAAAAAGTTATGCTTCACACTTTTATTTAACTTGCTTTTTTTCCATTAACACTTTGCCTTGAACATCTTTCCATGTCTGCAACAGCTTATTTAACAAGTATTTACTAAATGCTCACTCTTTACTTACCATTGTGTTAGATGCTAAAGATACTGCTTTTAGTAGAACGGACAAAGTCCCTACTCACCTAGAGGTTGCACCCTCACGGGAGAAGTAGACCGCAGGCAAACCGATAACAGTGGAATGTCAGGTGCTGCTAAAGGCTGTGAAGCAAAGTAAAGCTAGGTAAAAGGAGAAAGAACAGACACCAGTAGTGGGGATGTACAGGTAAGGCCTCTCTGAAAAAGAGGCCCTTGAGTGTGTCAGTGAGGGAACCACCTCAAGGGCTGGGGAGAGATCTTCCCAGAGGAGAGGAAACCTTCTCTGGCACATTGGAAGAAGAAAGAGGGCAGTCTGGCTGGAGCACAGTGAGTGATGGGGAGAGATGCAGGTGTGGGAAACATAATCAGAGAGGTAGCCAGAGCAAGAAATGCAATACATTTAGATTTAACTCATTCTTCTATATAGCTTCATAACATTCCACTTAATGGCTTATGATAACTTATATAACCAGATGACTGTTTATGAGCATTTAACTTTGCATGTTTTTATGCATTCAACAATGCTGCAGCTAAACCTTTACACACACACACACACACACACACACAAATATGCATATTTGTGCAGGTAAAATGGTAAATTTCTAGGAAAAGAAATGCTAGACCACACGTTATAACATGTAAATATTTATATTCACCAAATGCTTCCCAAAAGTATTGTGTGGAATTTATTCCCTATGCCAGCGTTTATGTCTGTGGTTTTCCCTATGTCTTTTGTCAACACTGGATATTATTAAACTTTAAAAATTTTTGCCAGTTCAACAGTTAAAACTATACCTTGCTTTGGGGTGCCTGGGTGGTTCAGTTGGTTGAACATATGACTTCAGCTCAGGTCGTGATCTCATGCTTCCCTAGTTTAAACCCCATGTCAGGCTCTGTACTGACAGCTCAGAGCTTGGAGCCTGCTTCAGATTCTGTGTGTCTCCCTCTCTCTCTCTGCCCCACCCCTGCTCACATTCTGTCTCTCTCTCAAAAATAAATAAACATTTGGGGCGCCTGGGTGGCGCAGTCGGTTAAGCGTCCGACTTCAGCCAGGTCACGATCTCGCGCTCCGTGAGTTCGAGCCCCGCGTCGGGCTCTTGGCTGATGGCTCAGAGCCTGGAGCCTGTTTCCGATTCTGTGTCTCCCTCTCTCTCTGCCCCTCCCCCATTCATGCTGTGTCTCTCTCTGTCCCAAAAATAAATAAACGTTGAAAAAAAAATTTTTTTAAATAAATAAATAAACACTAAAAATTTTTTTTAATTACACCTTGCTTTTTAAAAGTGTATTCAGTATAGGTGAGGTTGAACATATGCTTATTAGCCATACATTTTTGTATGAACTGCTTATTTGAAATATATAATCTTTTTTTCTTTGTTTTCAGAAATTTTATGAATAAGCATCAGAAGCCAGTGCTAACAGGCCAGCGGTTCAAAACTCGGAAAAGGGGTAGGTTGTGCTGCATATTTGTGGGACTGGGGGGCTGAGAGAGTAGGTGAAGTTCTCAGCAAGACAGGAGTTTGGGGAAGGATTAGAATTATCCTTGTTCACACCTAAGCTCACTAGTTCTACTCTCCTGGGCTCTGAATGTAGAATCTGAAGTTCTTCTGCCTCCAAGCCTCGGAAAGGTTACTTAGGTGTCTGACCTCAGACAAGTCATTTAACTTGTCTAAACTTTGTGTCTATCTACAAAATGAGGATGATTCTGTCTGTTCAGGTTTCCTCACTCTCCTGTGAGGCTATGAAGACACTAGATAAACTTTACTATTTTTGACATCAGCATTTATTTTTGAGTTTTGCTTTCTTTGTTGTTTTTAAGGAAATGTTGAAAGTAAAGATGGTAAAACTTAGGAGAGAGGTAATCTAGGGAAGGAGATATTGAGGAGTTTTTACTCTTGAGAATTTAATAGGTCACATTAAATTTATTGCCTAAGTATCTTGAAAACTCAGTATTTTCAAGTGTCTTTTATTGTGGAAAGGTAGTGTCGAACCTGTTTGATGACTGGGAAAATTTCTGTTTGTGTGAATGACTTATTTTTAGGTCACGTTCATCTCCCTACCCTTTCTGCATAAAGAATGGTTTTAAATTTTAAGTGTTTAATCAGTTTGGCATTCTTATACAGAAGTCCTCTTGGACTTAAAAAAAAAAAAAAAAAATAGCTGAGCCATAACCTGATTAGGAAACTGTTTAAAAGGAAACATGGTACAAGATTATTATGTTGACTAACACTAGGATAGTAACTGAAACGTATTTAAGGAAATATCATGTAGAAAGCTAAATGATGGTGGGATATCTCTCTGAAGGCCTCACTACTGATTATGAAACATAATGGCATGTAATGGTATCATGTGCTACATTGTTGAATTGATGACCCATATGTTACGGCTTTGGCATTTCCAGTGTTGAGGTGGCCCCTGAACCTTCCGCTGTCTTGCGTAAGGATGGTGTCTGCATAAGTAGCAAGTCTAGCCTTGCAGAAGAAAAAGAAGTCTCCATGCAATCAATGGAGTGGAAGAGTTCATGAGAGTAGCTAGATAGCCGCGAGGCTGGATTTCTTTGTAGATGCTGCTTGCAAGGAATTCACATTCGTACTGAAACAATGAAACTAAGAAACTGTAAACTAAGCAAAAGGTGGTTATTTTGTACAGTAATTTTTGTCTTGTGCTTTCCCGTTTTCTATTTTTTTTTTTTTCCATCCCTGGCTCATCCCTATAAACTAATACACATATGACCTCAGCCATCTCCTTCTGCTTAGTCCCGTCTTTGTCATATAAATTGTGTCTCCATGATATTTCCCCATTGAAATCTGGACCCTGATATTAACACAAGGTGTTACAGTCAATGTGCCTTCCTTCTCTCATTGTTTAAAGCAGTCAATGAGGGGAAAATGATGTGGATGATTTCAGAAGCATTTCATCAGTAAGGAACGATATAGTTCAGAAAGCTAATTATAGTTAAGGTATTGTTGGGCCTGGTAATGTGATAATATCTAATATATGTCCAACTGTGAGGTGCAGAAAGGTTTGCCATCGCCTGCCCACTGGGGGAACATGTTAATCTCAGACCTGGATCTCCAGCTTTATTCGTGGGACGCTGATTCACGGTAACTGAGCTTAAAAGCCAAGAGAGGGCCCAAGGGTGTATTGCACAACAGCAGGCGTGATTCAACAAGTCAACTGGCCCTTAGAGTCAGTCTTCAGTTTTAAGCCAGAAAGGTTTTCTCTAAATCTGAGCTGGTTTATCTCTGATTCATTTAGTGGGCAAGATTGTGCCTGTGTCTTACCGCTGCTGGAATACTCAGAGCTACCCAGAAATGTATATTATTTGCCATTGATGTGGATTCATAGAACTCAGATCTATTGGGGATTTAAGCACTTGAGCTATTTTGTGCCTGCTGGTTGGAAATTAAAAAAAAAAAAAAAAAATGGAGTCAACCTCAATTTCTGCTCTTCATAATAGTGAATTGCATCCTGATGATTTATCGTGCTTTGGCTTTTCTTTTGCTCTTATGATAGGGCTGACTTCAGATAAATGGCTGGCAGTTTTGTAGAGGTAAGGAAAAAAATCTAGTGAGGATATCTCAAGGTCATTTTGCTAGGCTGTCTTCTGAAGGTCTGTCTTCAATTTGAAATTGTTTTCTAACAAAGCTAATAATGCTCTTCCATGCCAAGTCAGGGAAACAAAACTATTTTTATTGTCTAAGATCAAAATTAAACATTATGATGCGACACATCATTTAGAAATCCATTCAGACTCTTTTCCTTTATAAAATATGCACATCTTGTTTATGATACTTTCTTCAAAGAGATTATGTTTTCTAGTATGACTTGTGGGAATTTGAAATGATGGAATTTCTCCCCTGAGCCATTGTTATGCTTAGCTAAATGAAATAGTTAATGACTGAACTCTCCTCTTTATAAATTTTGTAGAGAAATTGGATTAAAATTACTGAAAATAGGAGAGAAAAAAAAATAACCAACTACAGGCAACCAGAGTGACCACATACTCCATTTCATCTGTGTTGACAGTTTTAAACACTCTTAGATTTTCAGTAAGTGTTAGCGACTAAGCTGGTAAATGTTCAAATGTTGAACTCTGTGTGTGTGTGTGTTTGTGTGTGTGTGTGTATGCACATAGGTAGAAAACCCATGATAGTTCTTCCTCATTTATTATAACTAAGTGACACTCAAAAAGGGATGTAAGTTATACTATTTATCACTTAATTAACAGGTAGGAAAAGTGTTATATTAACCAGTTACCATGGTTTCCAGTGAAAGCATTGTGTTTAGATAACTTACGGACATATTTGAGCATCAGAAATAGACCTGTTTCTCGGTGTCAGTACAAGGGCCAGCATGACTAACTCTGTAGTGTCACACTTCTGATTCACCAACACAGTATAAATTTGAGACCCTAATTATATACTTCCCGCTTCTAGGGAGGTTTGACCTGTCAAATGGAAACTCAAGGAGTAATAGCATATTTTCATTAGGATTTTGTTAGTTTTTTTGCTAGACTTTCCTCATGTGAAGTACAAATTACACGTAATGTTGTTTCGGATAAAAAAGAACCTTTGGGTAAAATGTCATGTTTCCCCAAACGTTCGTCAGGGTTGTGGCCATTTTCTTGTTGGGGAATTTTGTATTCCACTGGGTGGGCATTTTATCTCAGCAGATGGGAGTTGCTTTTCAGCCTACAAAAGAATGATTAATCCTTTCATGCCATCACGATTTCTTTAGATTCCCGAGCTACAAGGGATCATCTTGACCTACTGCGTTATTGCTCACTGTTGAAGTATCTTCGGCCGTGACCTGCTGTCTCCCTCCTTTTACTTTCCTCTTCCTTGGCAAATCTCTTAGGAAAATAAAACCGAAATGAAGGGCTTTGTGCAGACACAAGTTTTTAAGTTGTCTCTTAGATTCAAAGCAAAGCCCTCTGCATGAATTCTTAGCATAGTCTAGATTTTTACCTGTGTACCAGCTTTCATTTTCCACTGCTTCAAATTAATAATTTTCAAATCATCAAAGTCTGTTCTGCCACCTGAGTCAACATCCAAATGTGTCGTAGTGCCACTGCAGGAATGGCGTCAGTTGATTTTGAAAGCTGGTTACAAGACAGTAAACAACTTGTGGAGTCTTTTCTTCTCATGTTCTCATATTACAAGGAAAGAAAACTTTCTCTCCCAAGTGGAAAGGAGAATTACCTTTTGGTAAATCTGGACCCTGAGTGGGGGGGTGAAGTTTCCCTTGCTTGCCAGTGAGTTCCTCGTGTGCAGTCATGATGCCCCCTCTAACAGCCTCTCATAATCTATTCCTGTGGAGTTCCCATTCTCTTCCTCCCCCTCTACAAAACAAGACCTTAATTATGTATATGTATATATATATATATATATATATTTTTTTTTTTTTTTTTTGCATTCAACATTTGCATGTTCTGGGCTGCTTAATGTTTTGCTTATGGCATCAAAAGGACTCTTGTCTCTTGTTCATGAAAAATAGTGTTCAATTTACGTCTGTCTTTATGGCATCTTATGCTGTGTGACTCTGACTGGTACTGGGAATGCCATTCTTCTCTGGTTCTTGTGCTGTGGTGTTAACCCCTTACAACTCATCCCTTTTACTAGATCAGGATAAACAGTGAGTCTATACAAACCAGGCAGGTGCTGTCTGGTTTTCAAGTAGTTTTTAATTGTATCACAGTCACGCGTTTTAAATAGTCAAAAGAATTCTGCAAGACCTATGATAGAGACAGCAAATCTGATCCCCCAGAGAAATGCCTTCTGCTTTTCACATGCTTCTTTTAATTTTTACATTCATGTAACCAAATACCATCCTTACATGGTTATTTCCTGACTTTCCTGTTTGTACTCTGGAAGATGAAGATTTAGCTCTCTTTCACGTGCAGACCTCTTCTCAATTCTTTCTCTGTGACACAGTTTTAGCTTGGCCACTATTTAGGGTTTATATTATTGGGACTTTATACCTGCTATTCATAGCTCAACTGTTATGCGGTTGGTTTGATCTATCTGAACATCATTTTATCTCTGGAGTTAATGTTTCATCTTCCCTTTTTTGATGAGTTTTCTGTGCCTTAACACTAGTCAATACTAAGCTTTCCCTTTGTTATGTAAATCTTCCAATACAAAAACTTTAGGAATTCTTATCCTTCATCATGTTAGACTTATAGTGAAAAGCTCCCCTGGTCAGTTTGCTCCCTGGGCCTGCAGTACAGCTGTCAACATGAAATGTTTGAAATGTCTTTTCACCGGTGTCCTGGAGAATCCTATTTCCTGGCTCATGTTCTTTTCTCCTCCTTTTTCCTGGGATCTCCTGACTTAAGATCACGAGTTATTCTCCCATTTTTGGCCGAGTGTCTGCTTCAGTAGCTCTTTTAAAAAAGATTGTATGAGAAACATCATTTTTGAGGCCTCAGGTGTCTCAAAATACATTTATCCAGGTTTTGTGCTGAGTTAACAGTTTGGCTGAACACTGAATTGTGGTTTCAAAATCGTTGTCCCTCAGAATTTTGAAGACATTTCATCTGGTTTCTGATATTTCTGTGGAGCAATTTAATGACATTCTGGTTTTTTGGTAGTTTGTATGTGATTTGGGTTTTTACCCCTGAAACTTCCAATAGCTGCCTTATTCCCAGTGTTGAGATTTCTCGATAATGTGTGAGCCTTGTTGTGGGCCCACTTGGAATCCTTGTGCTGGTGTCTAGACAGTTCTTTATTGGGAAACTCATGTCCTTCAACTCTGTAAAACTTTCTTGAAATTTTTAAATCATTTCTTTCCTTTTTGAAAAAAGAATTTTGAGGGCATCCAGCTGCTCGCTTGGTGGAGCGGGTAACTCTTGATCTTGGGGTTGTGAGTTTGAGCCCCGCCTTGGGTGTAGAGATTGCTTTAAAAAAATTCTCATTATGCGCATTATTTAAACATTTGACTTGTCTGCTCTTTTTCTTATTTTTTTGCACTTATTTTCTAAGTCTTTTTTTCTTGACTTTTTAAATCTACTTTCTAAGAGATATTCTCAGCTTTGTCTTTCAGCTCTTACTATTGAGTTTTTAACTTATTTTATCATGCATTCCATTCCCAAGAACTCTTTTATTCATGAAATGTTTCTTTTCTTTATATAATATATTCTTCTTCCTCTCCTTTCCCTCTTCCCTTCTTAGAGTTGCAGTATCCACGTATCTCCCTAAAGGTATTTATGGTAAGATTTTTGTGAAGTATCTGTTTCATCTTTTGCCCCTCCCTTTCCACACCCAACTCATTCTCCCTAAAGGGAAGGTAAAGGTGAAGAAGTCCTTTGAATTGAATCTTACTTTTACCTTTAATTTGGCTTTTTTTTTTTCTGCCTCTTCTGACCTCCTCCAATTTATCATCTTCACTTCTTTTCAACAGTGTATGATCCTTGCTTTGTTTAAGATCAGGTTTGTTTAAGGGGTGCTTGACTGGCTCAAGCAACTCGTGATAACTCTGGATATGCAGGTCATGAGTTCGAGTACCGCAGTGGGTGTAGAGATTACTAAAAAATAAAAATTAAAAAAAAAAAAAAAAAAAAGATCTGACTCCAAATGACCTTCCACAAGAAGTCTCTCTAGAGTCTGCTGAGGATAGAAAGCTACATGTATTTTTATTCCCAAATCCTCTGAAGCCCTTTCAGGGCTTCTACAAATTCAAAAATATTGTCATTATAATGCTAGGATATTATTTGTCTCTTTTACATGTTTACTCTGGTTTATGGTGGTTTCCCAGAGGCTACATGATGTGTGATATTACGGTGGATATGGGACTCCATCTGTCTGCTATTAAGCCAGGTGTTAAAGAGATTCAAGAAAGCCTGGTTCATACTAATTTTTTTTATTTGATAAATATTTTTTAATTTTCTGGTTTAATTTCTATAAAGTAAGTATCCATAGATATAACCTCCTTACACAAAAATGCTCTTTGGAATCCTCAGTACTTTTTTTTTTTAGTAATTTTATTTTGTAGCTTTTTTTTAATGTTTATTTTTAAGACAGAGACAAACAGAGTGTGATACAGGGAAGGGGCAGAGAGAGAAGGAGACACAGAATTTGAAGCAGGCTCCAGGCTCTGAGCTGTCAGCACAGAGTCCAACATGGGGCTCAAACCTATGAACAGAGATCATGACCTGAGCCGAAGTCGAATGCTTAACCGACTGAGCCACCCAGGCGCCCCTGAATCCTCAGTACTTTTGTAAAGGGTGGCAAAAGGTCATGAGACCAAAAAGACTGAGAGCATCTGCTCTGAAGCTATAAATATACATATCTAGCTCATGATATATATTAAATATTTTAAGTGCCCTGGAATAACTTACCTTGTAAAAAGAGACGTCTCTCCAAGAAATAACAAGTGTTAATGTAGATGTGGAGAAAAGGAAATCCTCATGAAATGTTGGTGGGAATATAAAGTGGCACAGTCACTATGGAAAACAGGTCGGGAGTTCCTCAAAAAATTTAGAACTGAAGAAAACTGAACTAAAAATATTTTATCTGAAGAAAATGAAAACAGTAATTCAAAAAGATATATGCGCCCCCATGTTCATTGCAGTATTATTTACAATAGTCAAGATCTGGAAGCACCCTAAGTGTTTATTAATGGATGAATGGATTAAACAATGTGGTGTATACATATGTAATAGAATATTATTGAGCCATAAAGAGAGGGAAATCTTGCCATTGGAAACAACATGGATAGACCTGACGGCATTATGATAAATGAAACAAGTCAGAAAAAGACAAATACCATATGATCTTACTTAGGTGTGGAGTCTTTCAAAACAAAACAAAAAACCCCAAACTTGTAGAAAACAGATTGGTGGTTGCCGGAGGCAGAGAGGGAGGGGTGGGCACAATGAGTGAAGGTAGTCAAAAGGAACAGACTTCCAGTTATAAAATAAGTAAGTCCCAGGGATGTAATGTACAGTAGTTAATGATACAGTATGGTATAAGAGAAAGTTGTTAAGAGAGTAGATCTTTCTTACAAGTTCTCATCGTAAGAAAAAAAGATCTAGCGATGCATGGTGGTGGATATTAACTAGACTTATTGTGGTAATCATTTTGCAAAATATATAAAATTGAATCATTATGTTGTATATCTGAAAGTAGTATGTCAATTATAGAATTGATATATTGATGATTGAAACTAATGTTATATGTTAATAATAAAAATAATTTTAAAAAGATATGTCCCTCTTTATTTCCTCCCTCCTAACCTTTGTTTATTTATATATTCTCCTTTATTCTTAGACAGTTGTCCCTGGATCATTTTCTTTATCTCAGATGAAACAAAATTTTAAGTTTTGATTGTTCTACTTTATTTTTTTTCAGATGGTTAGGATTAGTAGATTACATTGGCCTATTCTCTGAATGACATAAATGATCAGTTATTAATTCTATTATGTATCAGATAGAATTAATGTATTTTTTGGCACCTCTAAATAGAAAGTAAATTACTTGATTTAATAAATGTTTAAACAAGGGGTTTAGAACATCGAAATCTAGTAGAAGAACTTAGTTGTCTTCAAACTTTTAAATAATTACACTGTCAAATAAAGAACAATGAACCAAAGAAATGCATAGTTGCTTTTGGGATAGAATGTGTTTAAAAATAAATAAATAAATAAAATAATTTGTAACATTTATTTTAGATGAAAAAGAGAAATTCGAACCCACGGTCTTCAGGGATACACTTGTCCAGGGGCTTAATGAAGCTGGTGATGACCTTGAAGCTGTAGCCAAGTTTCTGGATTCCACAGGCTCAAGATTAGATTATCGCCGCTATGCAGACACACTCTTTGATATCCTGGTGGCTGGCAGTATGCTTGGTAAGCCATGCATTATAGCTTCTTCTTTAGTACTTTAAATTCCATTGAAATAGTTTCTTACAAGATAAAATCTTTATAAATTTACATTTATGAGAGTTGGTAAAAAAAAAAATGCAAATGGGAGTCTCTATGATTTTTACCTTGTTTACCATTTGGGATGGTAATGTGGCTGTAGAAACAGTTATTTGTTAAGAGAGGCACAGAAATGATGGTTTCTGTTAATGTTACAACACAGCTACTTTGCTTTATAGCTAAAGGACAGCTTCCCCATGTGTCCCTAATTCAAAATGTTTCTGGAAAAAAGTCTGCTTTTGTATGTCACTAGTTTCTTCCAGTATATTTAATTAACCCCCAAATGCCCTAGCAACCTTTCCCTTAAAGCCCACCCTTTTTCCATGCAGTGAAATGTAACCCTCCGTTTTTCCTTAAATTCTGATTAATCCAAAAAAATGTCAGAAATATAGTTTAAATCTGGTTTTTAAAAATATGTAATTGTGAGTATATAGCTAAAAGAATTAAAGGTAGAAGTTTGAAAATTATTAAAGTTAGTTTCTTTTTTTTTCTTGTTTTTTTTAATATGAAATTTATTGTCAAATTGGTTTCCATACAACACCCAGTGCTCATCCCAAAAGGTGCCCTCCTCAGTACGCATCACCCACCCTCCCCGCCCTCCCACCCCCCATCAACCCTCAGTTTGTTCTCAGTTTGTAAGAGTCTCTTATGCTTTGGCTCTCTCCCACTCTAACCTCTTTTTTTTTTTCCTTCCCCTCCACCATGGACTTCTGCTAAGTTTCTCAGGATCCACATAAGAGTGAAAACATATGGTATCTGTCTTTCTCTCTATGACTTATTTCACTTAGCATCACACTCTCCAGTTCCATCCACATTGCTACAAAAGTTAAAGTTAGTTTAAAAGCAAAATAAAAATAATAGAGCAGAGGCATCAAGGTAGAAGGCTTTTCTGAGTGACATGGCATATTGATCTAAATGTTGATTAGGTATCATAATGACCCATTGTTCCTCTCATGTTTATTCTTAGAACTTAGTTTGTGTAATCAGTTTGTGTGGTATCCATAAATCGCTAGAAGTGGTCCAATCCTCTAGGCCAGTGATTTGCAACTACTGAGGGGACATTTGCAAATGTGTGAAAGTGTTTGGGTTGCTATAAAGACTTGGTAGTGGAGGCATGCATGCCACCTACTTTGCAAGGGGAACTCAGTACAATGAAAATTTGCCCTACCCAGTGCGCTATCAGTGCCTTTCATTGAGAAACACTGTGTAAGCCAGCCTACTTTAGGACAAAGTGTGTACTTTCATCCATTTTGAGGTATAGCCACATTTTAATTCCTCCTTCTGAGAAATCTTTCCATTTTGGTACGCGGGCTCTAATTACTACCAGGCTCCCTTTTGATCTGTATTGCTGCTTTATTTTTTTGTTGTTACTATTTGTAAAGATCTCACATCATCACTGTGGATCATTCAAATCCAAGCATAAGAACTATATGTATTGGGGGCGCCTGGGTGGCTCAGTCGGTTAAGCGTCCGACTTCGGCTCAGGTCACGATCTCGTGGTATGTGGGTTCGAGCCCCGCGTCGGGCTCTGTGCTGACTGCTCAGAGCCTGGAGCCTGTTTCAGATTCTGTGTCTCCCTCTCTCTCTGACCCTCCCCCATTCATGCTCTGTCTCTCTCTGTCTCAAAAATAATAAATAAATGTTAAAACAAAATTTTTTTAAAGAACTCTGTATTGTGTTCAAATCCCATTACCTAGAGACAACTGTTATTAATATTTTGGTTAATTCCATTCTAGAAATCTCTTTACCTACATATGCTAATTTTTGAGAATGGGATGATATTATACAAATAAGATACTCTGTATGACTGTTTTCTATTTATTCAGCAATATGTTGTTGTCTTTCATACCTATGAGTGTTACCTTGAATGATTTTGAAAAGAACCAAAATCATACTGATTTTGAATCATATTTAATTTGTTCCTAGTTTCATTATAAGCACAATATATAATCAGTATCTCTATACACATAGCTTTGTACCTTTATCTAATTACGTCTTTATATATTTAGCAAGGGATAAATGAATTGAAGAATAGAGATATCTATGTCTATCTTTGTCTACCTGTCTATCAGAGAGGCACCAGCCCTCCAAAAGAAGATTCTAATTAACATTGTATCGAAAATGGTGTTCTGTTTATCTACACCTTTAGCAACATTAGGTACTCTTATGCTTTTCAGTTTTTTAGGTGTTTGCCAATTAGGTAAGTGATATTTACATTCAAAATTTTTAAATTAATAGTGAAGTTGAATATTTTCTGATGCGGTGATTGGCTTTTGTATTTCATGAATTACGATATACTTTCATTGGTGCACTGCTAAATTCTGTGCAAGTCTTCAGTGAGTTTTGGTACTTGCCAAAGTCACATGTGACTGTATAAGTCAATCCTATAGACCTTTTGCAGTTCTTCGTGCCCTCCTGGCAGTACTGCTGACCCTCCTGTCATTCTTGAAATGTTTACTTTCTTCCCCTACATGAGACCATGTGTTTCTCTGAATGCCTCTTACCTGACTCTTGGGTTTCCATATTACTGCCCCCATATATCTGTTAAATTATCTGTATACTTTGCTTTGATGATCTCAAAGCGTCATTGACCATCTATATAAGGATGATCAGCAAATTTATATCTGTAGCTCAGATTTCATTCCTTCACTCTACCTCCATACATCTAAGAAGGTAAGGCCAAAGGTATGGTAAGACTTAGGAGCACAGCCGGTACAACCCCCAGGTACCTACCGAGGCCAGACCTTTGATATAATGAATAAACCCAGCCAGGCACATTCTTTTTATATAAATATTTTGTTTACTTATTGAGTATGGGAATCTTCTTAACACCTACCCCAAAATTTACCTTCTTCCATTGTTCTTAAAACAATAGTCATCTTGGTTTTTCAGTTGTGTTTTTTGAAGAGTAGATACAAGAAATACTTTTTCTTTTCTTTTAGCTTACATTTTGAGGAAAATAGCAGGCTCACCAAAATTTTAGAAAGGGCAATTAATTCTTTGTCCCAATATCAGAGGGAAAAAAATTTAATGCAAGCTGTAGCAATATTATTCATGTATAACATGTTTTGTATAAGAATACAATTTTAAAACTTGTCTCTAAAAGAAAAGACTATAGATTTAATTTCAATTATATAACTAACTTCTGTCAGATAGGAGTCATTAGCCTGGAGTTTTTAGAAGATTATCACCTTAATAAAATTTTGTTCCAGGTGGTTGTTTTCATTACAGAGGGCTAATTAAATCTTATGCATAAATTAATTGCATGAAAATAGATTCCTGAAGGAGCTCACTTTTCTAAAAAGTAATTTGCTTATGAAATGGTATGCTGGAATCTGAAAAAGTTTGGCTAGGTGTAGCACTTTTCATCCAAAGATCTGAAATCACGAGTTAAATAAAGGCAGTTACATAAATGCATAAAGGAAGTAGCTGGTACAAGTGTATATTCTCCAAATATGTGTTGAGTATATGGAAGACATTAGTCTAACTTGGCTTATTCAAACCTTCTAGAATCCTACCCTAATTAAAATGAAGTACAATCAGAAAGCAAAAATACCTAGTATGGATTCTGTTCTTCTCATCAGCCAGTGTTTTCTAATGGCCATGATTGAAACTTACAGGAGGAGCCTTTGAATGTAGAAAGTTGAGTCATAGGAAAAAAATGCATTCTTTTATGCTAGTCCATTTATTCCATGATATTGTATAGACCAAGGGGGAAAAAGACGATAGAGAATAAAATACACTTTCCTAGCCAACACAGCTGCCTGATGACCAAATGCAAATAGCGAGCAGTCGAAGTGTATACTGTTCAACCCTGCATGGATAATTGGGCTAGTGGAGGAGGGAACAGTTTTAATACCTACTCAAGTAGAAACCAACAAGGTCTAAGGGAGCCTGAGTAGCTCAGTCAGGTAAGCATCCGACTCCGGCTCAGGTCATGATCTTGCGGTTCATGGGTTCAAGCCCCATGTTGGGTCCTGTGCTGACAGCTCAGAGCCTGGAGCCCACTTTGGATTCTGTGTCTCTGTCTCTCCCGCACTTGCTCTCTCTCTCTCTCTCTCTCTCTCTCAAAAATAAACAGACATTAAAAAAAAAGTTAAGAAACTAACAAGGTCTACAAGAGCCAGGTTCTGGCCGGTCTCAGTGTTGGTGAAGTGGAGTCTGGCAAAATATTATCACACCTAAAAAGTGAACCATGTCCTGATGTCAGAAACACCAGGAACTACATTGAGAATGTAGTCCAGATAATGAGTCCAGACTTAGAATGTTAGGAGCCTGGTGAAGTCAAGGATCTAGAACAATAATCTCACACACTATGGTAGTAGTGTGAAATGGAACAACTAGTTTGCATTAGATTAGAAACATAAACATAACAACATATGTATCTACATGTACACCTCATCCTATCAATTTTTATGTGATTTTTAGATTTTACCCACTTTTACTGTTTTCCTTGAGGTGCAGGAATTCATCTGCTCTGTAAATGTTCCTCTCATTTCAGTATTGTCTTAACTGTAATTACCTTTGTCTTTTCAGCCCCTGGAGGAACACGCATAGATGACGGAGACAAGACCAAGATGACCAACCACTGTGTGTTTTCAGCAAATGAAGATCATGAAACCATCCGAAATTATGCTCAGGTAAAGCCCATCACTGAGAGATTGTTGTGTGAGGAGGGAGACATCTGAACAGGATTTAGGGAAACCTTAGGTTCAGAAATTCTACAGGCCACTTTTTCGGTAGAAATGTTAGAAAACTCTTGCACATATGAAAAGATACTCAGTTGCATTCTTAGTAAGCAGTGGATATTAAAACTTAGCTAAGGTAGATTTATTTATATATATATATATATATATATTTTTTTTTTTTTTTTTTTTTTTTTTTTTTTTTTTTCTTTTTTGCCTTCATCTGTACAGAACACAAGTTATCAGAGGCTCACATAAATTCTGGTGAGAGTATAAATTGGTCCAAACTTCAGGGAGAGCACTTTGGCACTATCTTTCCAGACTAAAACTGCACATTCCCTTTGACCTAGCAACTCCACGTCTAGGACTTCACTCTCAGATGTGCTTGCATGTGTGTAGAATGACGCATACACATACGATGGGAGTTATCAGTCATGCTTGTAATAGTATCAAAGGTTGGAAACAGCATAGAAGTCTATCAGTAGAGTACTCATTAAAATTTTCTAATTCATATTAGATATGAATGTAGCTATTCATAGCTATATTAGCTATATTAGACTATCATGTAGCTATTAACAAGAAAGAGACAAGAAGATATTTGTAATTTGTAATATCTATGAGGGATTCATATCAGGATTAAATAAAAAAAAATGCAAGTCACTAGAGAAGAAGACAAGCTGCCCATTAGGAAGAGACGTAGGCATTTCAAAGAAGAGGAAACACAAGGCTCCCCCAAATCAGATGAAGACATAATCAAACCTACTAGTAATTCGGGAAATGGAAGTAAAATCATGATATTGTTTTGTATTTATTAGATCGGTAAAAAAATAAAATTAGAAGTCTTTAGGCCCTAATGAAGGTCTGGACGTTGCAGGACTGTAGAATGGAGCAACCTAGTAAACGTTAACACTATAGAGCTGAACGTACATGCATCACGAGTAGCTGGTTCCTGTTCTATCACGGACCTGTGTTAACAGCCAGTTGCTCTCAGCTAGACTACACGGGCAAGTACTAGGACTCGAGTGATGGTGTAAACTGGAAATCAAATTTATTGGATCTCAATACCATTTATTCTTTTTCCTTATTGCATACTACTTCCCTGCCTGGGCTACTATTTCCTCATAAAGGGCAGCACTGTAATCTTTACTCTTGTACCCCATCTTGATCACATTAGGGGATAATCTAAACTAAAAGTTTTAGATGACAGTGCATTATGTGTATAGAAGAAAAAGGAATTAGGGGCACCTAAGTGGCTCAGTCAATTAAGCATCTGACTTTGGCTCAGGTCATGATCTCGCCTTTCATGAGTTCGAGCCCCCACGTTGGGCTCTGTGCTAACAGCTCAGAGCCTGGAGCCTGCTTCAAATTCTGTGTCTCCCTGTCTCTCAGTCCTTCCCCCACTCACACACTCTCCCTCTCAACAATAAATAAACATTAAAAAAAAAAGAGAGAAAGGAATTAGATTCAGAAATCGTTTTCAATTATAAAAATAATCAATATTTATGAAAATCTCTATTTAAATAAGAACACTTATTATTCTATTCAGGCTACCTTGACAAAATACCATAGACTGGGATTTCTATAAAACAATAGAATTTCATTATTCACAGTTCAGAAGGCTGGGAAGTGTACATTTAAGGTGCCAGCCAATTTGGTTCCTGGTATAGTCTCTCTTATGGCTCTTATAAGGCCATCAGTTCTATCAGGTTAGGGCCCTACCCTTATGACCTCATTTAACCACCTCCTAAAGTCTCTACTTGCACATGTAGTCACATTGGAAGTTAAGTCTTCAACATATGAATTTAGTGGGAATACAAACATTCATTTCACTTAAATAAACAGCCCAGAATTCCACTGACACACCCTGTCAGAATTCCACCCTGTTTGTGGGTTCTAACTAGATGGGGTGGGGGGGAGGCAGTAATCCTTTATTACTATGAAGTTATACCAAGTTTTGCTTGTCTTCTAAAGACGTCTTTGTGTCCTCCCAGAGTACAATGTGTCTGAGGTCTTCTCTCTCCATCGTATCCATGGTCTCTGTGATTATATGTCACCCCCTTCATTTCCTATTGCCTTTCTCTGCATCTCACAGGTTTAACATTATTGTGTTTTTATCAGCGTTATTTTTGGTTTCTCACATGTTATACTTTTGGTTGAATTTCTTTTATTGTTATGTACACATTGATCACATTTCCCCCCTTGTTATAACTCCTTTGAAATGCTTACAGTTCTTTTACAGTTATCTTTTTACTATAGGGCCATGTTGTGATTATGGTGACTTTCTACACCTCCTATTGTCTTTTAAACTTGTTTACATAATATTGAATGGTTCTGTTTTATGTTTAGGTCTTCAATAAACTCATCAGGAGATATAAGTATTTGGAAAAAGCATTTGAGGATGAAATGAAGAAGGTAAAAATTCAAATGTAATGCCATACCTGTTTAAAGTAATGAAAGGGAGGGGGATGAAAATAGTTCATTTACACCGATAGTGCAGAAGTGCCAGGGACATAGTAAGTTTTTTAAAAATGTTTGTTGAGTGAATGAGTACAACAGGTCATTAGCTAATTGCTACAGGGGAAAATACACGATTAGCCTAGATTTTGTTCATTCATCTTTATGTAAGACCACATACTTTGCTCTATAGGAGTGGTTTTATAGCATCTGATCCTTGACCTTGCAGAGCTTAAAAATAAAAACTAGAGTTTCCAAATATGCAAGAAAAATAAATATATCAAGGGGGAAATCTAGATGTGGTGATTTAAGCAATTAAAGCATGTGAAGGAGTATATGGCACAACAGCTAATACCCAGTAAAACTCTTTAATTTTCACAAATACAGTCTGGCAAAGAGGATAAAAGCACATCTTTGGAGATAATCTGTGGGTGTAAGTCTCAGTGGTGTTTCTCACTGTAAAAAGCTGCAGTAAGATGCCATACCTTAGGATTGCTGTAGGAATCAATGAGATCACATATAAGGTACTTAATAGAGTAAGTGGCCTCTAGTAAGTAGCAAAATAAATAGTAGCACCTCATTAAAGAAGACCTCCTTTCTGTCATTGCAACATGTTCCCTCTTGAAATTTGTAACTCTTGTGTGTGTGTGTGTGTGTATGTAGCACTCACTACATTAACTTGTTACAGATTTGCATGTTGCTTGATCATTATTTCCAATTTTAGACAATCTGCTAAATTATAAACCAAGGGAATAAAGGAACCATAGCATCTACTTTACTACTTATTCGCTTCCCCATGTTCAACGCAGATCCATACATCATGAACATTTGACAGTAAAATCCCTTTTTAAAACAATTTGCATTCTCTGTGACTCCATTTTCCCGTTTCTTAAGAATAGTTCAGCATGGATACATAAAACTGTATGTATAAAGATGTTTATCACAGTTTGGAGAAATAAGCTAAGTGTGCATTAATGGGAGACTGATTAATTAAATTCTGGTCTGTCCCTACCGTGGAATACTGTACAGTCATGTAAACAATGGAGGATAACCACATGAATTGATTGGGGAAAATGTCCATGATAAATTGTTACGTGAAAAAGGTGCGGAGCAGCCATTTGGTAGTTTAACTTCAGGCAAATTACTTCATTTCTATCTGCCTCAGTTTACTTTTCTGTAAAGTGAAGATCAAGGCTGGTGTAGATTTCAATACACAGAAAGTATTCAGAAAAATAGCTGGTACCCTTGGCAAGTTTCAGCTGTCATCAATGAATAATTCAGTAAAAACAATACATGTTCACACATATAGTTATTTATATAATATATAGAGGTGTATAAGTACATTTAAAAATCTGGAAGGACACATCAAATAGTTATTGATGAACACAGTAACAGTTATTAATTCTAAGGAAGCGGGATTAGAGAGGAAATCTCATTTTTATATTCTGTAGTGATAGATATTATTCTACTAGCATGTATTACTTTTATAAATATGAAAAAAAATTTAAGTGGAAAAAAATGTCCATTAGATTGCTAGGTGTCTAGAAAATAACAAGCACCTGATTAAACAGAGGAATGGATATAACAGGGAGGGAGAATGCAAAGCCTTTAAATGACATTTTACCACTTTTGTCTAATACCACTTATGCTTTTCTTAGCTCATTTGTAACTTGAAAATTTCCTTACTATTTTATTCACGTGATGTATATGTATGCTTCAAGAATGATTTATTTTTCATAGTGTATCCATTTTAAAAGGAATATTCTGAAGTACAGGCAGCATCTGATTTTAATGTTGATTAATATAAGTGATCAATGAGAATATGAATTTAAGAAAAAGATGTAACTTTTGCACTATTTTAATGAATGAGAGTATACTGATGGGCTTAAAAAGTAGTGTTTAATATTTTATTTTGGGAGCCATTTTTCATTATTCACTTGAATCTGAATCATGTTTTCAATCAGAGGGAAAGGCCAGATTGATACAAAGTGTCTATGATTTTGTCAGTTCTTTTACTGTGTCCCATTCCTGGTATTCCCTGGAGCTTTACACACTGATACTCTCATTCCCTCCATGTTTTTTTTATGAACTTTGAAGGTGGCTTTGTTTTTAATTCACTGACACTTTAATAGGCATAACCTGGGAGTGAAATGGACTAGTTTGATTCCAGTTCTGCCACTTACTCATTACTCATAATACAAATATTTAGACTCACATAACTTCTCTGTAATGTAATAATCCTTTAACTGTCAAGGATAGTAAGTTAATATTGCCCTACCCACTGTACAGAGTTAATGGCATTTCATTGGTGCAAAGTAATGAGAAAGTGAGCAAGGCCCCAGTAGTGATATTGAGCCCCGGGGATCTCAGTAACATGCCTAAGAACTGATGAACTAGAGAAAATAGCCTGGAATAGAGTCAGAGCAATGCGGCGGGGGGGTGGGGGGGTGGGGGGGGTAGCCTTAAGAAAGAGGAGGGTACTCCACATGACTGAGAACTCATAGAATGAAAAATGGGAAACAGGGTATAATCACCTTTGCTTTGGTTCTCCTTTAACCATCCTGAGGTTGCTACTTTCTCAATTGCCCCCTTTGAAATTGCTCTTTCCAACTCACATCAGAGGGCTTTTCTTTCTTAAGAGGCTTTGTCATATCCTCCATTACCTCATCACCAGGGCTGCTAAGACTGCATGCTCTAAGAAATACCGAGTTTGAATCTTGTTATTTTAGAAAGAGCAGCAGAAACTTAGAAAACCCCTTTCTCACGCAACAGTCTTGTTTTAAAGAGTATTATGTGCTCTGAACTCAGAAAAATATATGCTGATGTCAAAGCTTAGTGACTGTCCCTGTTTTTTGTGTGTGGTACGATGTAACAAACCCCAAGAAAATGGGTAGCTATAGTATGGGGATAAGGGCACCCCCAACACTGAAAAATATGAAGGACAATAATATATTTCAGTAAATGTTCTGCTCATTATGTAAAACTTACCCTTTCTTCTGTACAAAGTCCAATGTAAATTTTTTATGTAACCTATTCACACCATTCTCCATATGTCTCTTTTTGTTCCCGTGGATGTTATCTATAGCTACGCATAAGTGAACTTGGAAGCAAGGAACTGTGCCTGAGAAAGTCACTTTCCTTAGCATCCAGTTTATAAGTGAGCACGCGCATGTGTTTCTGATGGGTAATACTTACGCTGTGCGTACGACCGACTCGTCTGCCATTCAGCCATGCATGTACCTTGTCTTTTATTTTCCTACCTTAGTCCTTTGCTTTATAGACCTGGTTTCTTTTGTTTGACCCACAGCTTCTCCTCTTCCTTAAAGCCTTTTCCGAAACAGAGCAGACAAAGTTGGCAATGCTGTCGGGGATCCTGCTGGGCAACGGCACCCTTCCCGCCACCATCCTCACCAGTCTGTTCACCGACAGCTTAGTCAAAGAAGGTAATGACGCTTGCGTTTTCTTACCTGTCATGTGTAAAAAGACATGTAAAGCCACAGATGATTAGAAAAGTCCCGGCAACTCCTCTTAGTGTTCTCTCCTACCCACCCATCATCCGTATGAGCGAATGTGTGTATGTCTTTAAACAATAAGAATTGTACATGTTTACTGGAGGAAACTGGAAGAAAAAATATGCACACTTGTACAAAGACAAAAACTATTAATGAACTGAATTTCAGGGTGTAAGGCTTAATGCCTGGATCAAATACCCTGAAGTGGATGTTGTCCAAACTGTTTCTCTCAATGTAGTTGCCACTGGCATATTTTGTTGGGAGAATGCTTCATTGTACTTTGTGGGGCACTTAAACTGCCAGGCTCTAGCACCCACCTCTATTTAGTGTAATGAAAAAAGGCCCCTTCATGTTCCCAAATGCCCCCCCACCAGACTGTTATTTCGCTGGTTAGGACCGTTCTTCTAAACCGTTACCTCTCAAAGTCTTGTGTTCGATGTTCATTTTGATCCCATTTTTAAGATATTCATTATCTCAGTTTTAGAAAGAAGTCCAGATGGTGGCATCGAAGTCTTGCTTTAATTTTAAGGCAGTAAGAGTTTGATAGGCGTATATACAATCACTTGGTTATGGAATAAAACAAAAGTGGGCTCTTGGAGGAGGATAATGATATTCGAGTTATAATGCAACACAAAACAAAGAGGTATTTTTTCCTTAAAAATAAAAGAGCTTTTGTGAACACATCTGTTTCTTCTTAGAACTTAGTTTCTCTCCTACAAATGTTGAAGTCCCAGCCTCGTTCATGCCTGCAGTGAAATGGATTGTAGTCTTCTTGTAGCTGAGAAAAGAACAGTAAATTGAGAGTCGAGTGATCTTAGAGATTTTCTATAGTTTTGGGCTTAATATAGCTCAGATTTATGACAGTTCAGATTCTGTAATTTTCATTAGTGTGTTGTTCATATTGTGACATTTTAAAGTGTTTTCCTGAAGAGAATTTGATACTCCACATCTTATTTATGATGTGAGCCATTCTACCCTCAGAAAAACACAAGATAAAATGTAAACAGTAAATGTTAATTATGTTAGATTTCCCTAGCCTTCATAACAGAAAATAATTTTCTTTCTGGTTGTATTAAAATCCTAAGTGATTTCTACAAATTCCTCAAATAATTTGATGGACAATGATGAAGCAAATATAAAATATTAATGGTTATAAAATTTAGATAGTGGGTGTAAGTAACTAACGGTGTTTACAGTTCGAAACACCTGTTTTATTGTCCTACCCATAGTGGGTTTGGGTTTTTTTTTTTTTTGTGGGGGGTGTGGGGTGTGTGTGTGTGTGTGTTTGTTTTGTGTGTGTGTGTGGTTTTTTTTTTGTTTTGTTTTGTTTTACTCATTCCTCTGCTCATTCGAGTGAAGAAATTTGGGCAAAGTTTGTGTTTGTATAAATGATATATTGATTGAATGCTCTTACTTGCAACTAACTAGAAGATGGAACTCAAATCGCTGTATAAGAAATTTTGTTCCATATAAGAACCTTTATTTCTTATGTCCAAAACAATAATATTCACGTCTTGGATGTTTTCTCCTGTTATTTCTCACTACCAATCATAGCATTATCAACTTTATTCCAAGTATGGTTTCCCTGGTCATTATACGATGTCTGCTGGTACAGTTATGGGACATCCTTTCTTGTTTAGATTCAGTGGGAGAGTACTTCTCAACATAGAATAATTTATCATGCCTTCAGCTGATTGGCCACCATAGGCCACATGACTAGTTTGGGCCCAGTAGCAGTTGCCAGGGAGGCGCCCTGGGCAGATGGGCTTAAAGCGAGGACTCTCAACTAATAATTGCAGAAGGAAACGGTACCAGGACTTAGACTTGAAGTCACCTGGCCTATGCAAAATGGAAATTCTCTTAGGAAAAAAAGGGGGTGTGAGGGATTGAGGCTGCAACAGTGAAGACTTCAGAAAAAATCAGTTTAATATTTCAGCTGCATTTTAACTTGGAAATTTAATAAATGTAACATTAACTTGGAAATTTGTAGTGTTCACAGAGGAACTGTCTTCTAGCTATCTAATTACTTATATTTGGAAATAAATCCTAATGTCAATATGGATATGTAATTGAGTGGTTTTCTGATTAACATTAGCTCTTTTAGTAATCTCTTTTAAAATATCCAGAAAAGACTTCAGTTTGAAACAGCATCAGTATTTTTATAGCTTGACTCATGAGGTTTTTTTTTTTTAATTTTTTTTTTTTTTTTTAACATTTATTCATTTTTGAGAGTGAGAGAGACAGAGCATGAGCAGAGGAGGGTCAGAGAGAGAGGAAGACACAGAATCAGAAGCAGGCTCCAGGCTCTGAGCTGTCAGCCCAGAGCCCAACGCGGGGCTTGAACTCACGGACTGTGAGATCATGACCTGAGCCGAAGTCGGACGCCCAACCGACTGAGCTACCCAGGCACCCCATCATGAGTTTTTTTTTTTTTAATGCTTTTTACAAGAAATAAACTTACAAAGTAAATATTGCCTGTTCATCTATAGCTTTATTTATATCTTTCACTATTAATGCATTTTGCCTAGTATCATTTATCAGCACGTTAATTAACGTGCTGCCATTTCATTTTTATGTCTCAAGATTTAGTTGTTATACCTCAGGATCACTGTTACAGACCTGAAATACTGGTGAAGCACAGGTGAAAGAGAAGCAAAAACAAAACAAACAAAAAAACTAGAAAATATTGGGTTTTCAATCTGTTTTGAACCAAGGTAAAAATAAAGACACGGTTACTCCAGGTTGGAATTAGGGAGTCTCACTTTGAAAAATGTTTTAACTGTTTTTCCTTTTCTTTTGAGTAATGGAAACAGAACTGTGCCTAAAGAGCTATCCATTTTTCCTCTGTACCAAATCATGTCTTTGAGCAGCAGACTCCGTTCGGGAAACCTAGTGAGCAGCTTGGCCCTGTCTGTCAATTACCGGTGTTTTTGCTTATTAAAAGAATTCAACTCTCACTGTTTCTTTTTCTGTTTCTTTAAACAGGCATTGCAGCCTCATTTGCGGTCAAGCTTTTTAAAGCATGGATGGCAGAAAAAGATGCCAACTCTGTTACCTCTTCTTTGAGAAAAGCCAACTTAGATAAGAGGCTGCTTGTAAGTGTTGTCTGGATAAGGGGTTGATGTTTCTGTCATGGCTTTGGCAATGCATGACTGAAATGCTTGGGTCTGTGTTAAATCAGAGCATGGTCCCTTTTATTTCTGTATTACTGGCAGAGGGAAATTAATTCCATTTTAACATTTATCATATAAATGAATGGAATCAGAAAATTAAAGAGTCATAAGGGACTGTTGTGATTTTCGGATCTGGATATTTGTTGAGATTATGTTAACATTGATCAGAATTAACCTTTTTTTTTTTGTAACTAGTAAGTATGCAGATTTAACGTTGCAATATGATAAAGTGCTATCAGTCTAATTAAACATTTCTCATGTGTTAGTTTGGAGATGGGTGATACTAATCTCACATACTTATTAATGTGTTAACAGAATAAGAGTTTAAACAGAATTCCTTGTTTATACCAAGACACCATGGAAATGACTTAGCTATTTAAGAAAGCAAACAAATTTGTTATGGTTGATTTGAAGCTCCCACTATCACAGTTGCTTGATTATGTTTTTTATTTCTCTTTCTTTGTGGTTTTCGAAAACAAATGAGGAGAAATATTTTGTTCTTAATATTTCTATCCACTCCCTACAATTTCTTTCTGCTAGAAGTCACACATGTGCAAAAGACAGAGATTTCTCCAAGTGACATTGCTCTTCTAGTCTAGGACAAAGTCTAAAATTGAAAGACGCCCCTTGGGGCGCCTGCCTGGGTGGCTCAGTCGGTTGAGCGTCCGACTTCGGCTCAGGTCATGATCTCGCAGTTTATGGGTTTGAGCCCTGCTTTGGGTCCTGTGCTGACAGCTCAGAACCTGGAGCCCACTTCCGATTCTGTGTCTCCCTCTCTCTCTGCCCCTCCCTGTCTTGCACTCGGTTTCTCTCTCTCTCAAAAATAAATAAACATTAAAAAAATTTAAAAAAAAAGAAAGAAAGAAAGACACCCTTGCCATCTTCTCTTCACCTTTTCTCTCCTCGGTTTTCACTTCCACTGTGTTTTAGTGTGCAATTCTGTCTGTCAGTCCAAGGGATTACTGTAAAATGGGCTCCTCCCCTCAGAAAATCCGAGAATAATTTTAACTGTAAATGCTTTTATTCTCTATCTCTTCAAGTTCCTTTGTCTCTTGAAATTTACCTTCAAATAGCCTTTTGGGTATTTCAAGTCTTTAGACTATGATAAAGACCAACGATTAACTAGATGATCATCTAGTTGATTTCTGCCGATAATTGTTTTCATTCAGCCTATGTTTCTGTGCCAGACATTCTCCAAGAAGCTATGGAGCCAAGAGAGAACAGGAAGGAAAAGTTCCCTGCCCTCATAGCAACTTACTTTCTCCTGGACTTAGGGCACATCCTTGTGTACAGAAAGAGGAATCATAAAAGATAAGTGAATAGGTTGCCAAGCAGGGTGGAAGTTCGTATGAAGGCAACATATTCTCATCCCTGAGTCTGTGGATTAACTCTATCTGGGCTAGATCCCTCCGTGATCTATACACCTTTTCATTCCGGGACCTAGCCTGCAGGAACACTTCCCATGCAAGCCATTCTGTCCTTATGGGAAAGGGCAGAAACACGGGAGATTGAAGTAAACCCCTCCAGTGCAGTCAAAGCTTACCTTCTGCTGGCCAAAAGTCAGAGTGAAGCCTGGCACTGGGGTAGGAAAGTTCATTCTGTCACAGCTTACTGTTCCACCCTTGCAGCCAGACACAGCAAGGAGGGACTTTAATACTCATTTAAAGAGAGGGAGCACATGACTGGTAATAAAGGTACAGTCTGTTATGGCTTGCCACAAAAGACTCAGGTTTATTTGTTTGTTTGTTTTTAAGTTTATTTTGAAAGAGAGAAAGGGAAAAGAAGGGGAGGGGCAGAGAAGATCTGAAGCAGGCTCCGTGCTGATAGCAGAGAGCCCAAACTCACGAACGGCGAGATCACGACCTGAGCCAAAGTCAGACACTTAGCCAACTAAGCAACCCAGGTGCCCGAGACACAATTATCTCTTAAGGCATCGTTCCTCAAAGATGCCCGTAGGCAGAGGTTGGTTAACTTAATTAGATTACCTCATAGGTTTATTCTTAGAGTGTCTTTCCTTTTTGAGGAATACATCATTTAACTGTTCCTACTTGGTTTCTATGTCTGCATATGTTTTGGGTATGAGAAGCACAGGTAGAAATTTCTAGCAGAAACACTGTAAGCTCCATGAGGACAAGGTAATCCTCTGTGGAGCCTACCTGCTTGATATTTGCTAACTCAGTGAATGAACGAGAAGCTAGAGGGTCAATTTCACCATCAAGGAGGAAATTTTTATTTGTTTAACACATACAACAAAATTCTCTCTGGCCGTACTAGTACATTTTAGGGGAAAAGAAGCATATCTCAAAGTTTGCAGTTACCCATTTCTGTAATACAGAAGCAAGAAAAACAGCAACTCTGAAAAGAGGGGATGGGAGGCAACAGACTAAATCAACCATTAATTAGGAAACCATTAAGTAGGAAAACTCTAAGGAATATCAGAGTAGGAGGCAGTTTTCAGTGGCAGAAGAAGATCTCTCTGATAAGGTGACTTTTTTTTCACTGTTTCATTTATTTTGGAGAGCACAAGCTGGGGAGGGGCAGAGAAAGAGGGGGACAGATGATCTGAAGCAGGCTCTGCCCTGACAGCAGCAACCCTAATGCGGGCTCGAACTCATGAACCATGAGATTATGGCCTGAGCCAAAGCCAGACACTTAACTGACTGAGCCACCCAGCTGCCCCAAGGTGACATTTGTGTAAAGACTTGAAGGAGTTGAGGAGTGAGCTTTATAGATATCTCCAGAAGAGTTTTCCAGGCAAAGGGAACAGAATGCAAAGACTTTGGGGGCATGCCATGTTGGAGACAGCAGTGGGGAGTGTTTGGTAAGAACAAAAGTATAGATCAGCTTGGAGACATAGCAGGTCCCATATCATCTAGGAACTTTGGCTTTTATTCTCAGTAAAATGGAAAGCTTTGTGGAAATTGGAAAACTCTGGCTTTGCTTTGAATAGACTCAGAAGCAAGAGCAGAAGCAGGGAGACCTTAATCTAGGGATGAGGTGATGGAGATTTGTGCCTGGGTAGGGTTTTTCTGACTAATGCAAACCATGCTCCAAGCCAGTAAATATCGTGATAGGATTTAGACTGACTTTACTTCAGCTTAATCTGAATAATAATCCTCACTGTCTTAAATGTGTCATTTATAAGGACTTTGAATATAGTTCATAAATAAACCCCCAGGAATATGTTTGATATATTCCTCTGAACATAACTTTAGATCAAACTTTGCAGTCACATTCTTCCTAAATTGAATACTCAATGTTGGCACGGAGTAACGGAATAATTACCGGCTATGGGCATAGTCTGCTATGTCCTTAAATATACCTGACTACATAATTTGGGTCAAGCTGTTTAGCCTTGTTGAGACTTAATTTATCCTCTATAAGAGTTTTTACTTTGTGTAATTTTCAGGAAAATAGCCACATTTTGATTCCTAGAAGAAAATCAAAATTAAATTCATTCCCCAAATCCCAAATTTGTTAGACCTTTTGAATGCTAGAACAAATGTCAGTGACTAAATTTCAGTCTGATGTGAAATGTTTGTTTTACCATGAATGCGTTTAATAGCTGCTCCCACCAACTCTTCTGACATTTTGAAACTCCTAACTCAACAGGGGAAGTTATGATACAGAGACTGTTGAAATTTGAGTCGTGTCATCGAAGCCTTTGGCTATGTCCCTCTACATGGTAGCAAAACTATTAGAGATTTTTCTACTGAGATTTTTACTAGAGGCATATAGCCATCGACCATATATGTGCAAATCGAACCACCATAAAAATTTGGATCTACTTTTTAGACTGCAGCAGTCTGAAAAATGTGAAAGCTTTGAAAATTGCCTTAATATCTTAGCTGGGTGTTGAAGTCACACAGGATTAGAATATGACTAAGTGTTACTGGGACTTTTCCAAGCTGTGTAAGGTAAAATGGAAATGAGGTAAAAATATGCAAGCAGCCATGGTGTATTGCTCTTTAAAAATTTCCAACAGAATTATGTAATGAACTGAAGAGTTGGGAGGGTGGGTTTAGATTAGATCTTGCTGTTGCTTAATTTAGAGCCACCATCATTAACAGATATCACAAAAATTCTCTTTAGCTCCAAGCTAGTATTAGACTAATAGCAGCATTTTCTCAGATTGTGAATAGAAGTTCTTGAGATAATAGTCAGTACTGTTTCCTAATATTACCTCACGTCATCTCAGCATTATTAAAACTGACTTTTGGGGCACCTGGGTGGCTCAGGCCATGATCCTAGGGTCATGAGATTCAGTCCTGCATCAGGCTCTGCGCTGAACGTGGAGTTTGCTTAAGATTCTCTCTCTCTCTCTCTCTCTCTCTCTCTCTCTCTTTCTCTCTCTCTCTCCCCCCAACTCCTGCACTCTCTCTCAAATGTATATATACTATACATACATACATATTACATATATATATGTATGTATGTATAGTATATATATCAGAAAAACCTGACTTTTGTCCATTAACTTGTAAGTTACATTATTTGCATTTAATTTAGCAAGTTCACTTCTGTATTCATATATGCTATACTTTGAGTAAAGTGAAAGAAAAAGTAAATAATGCTTCAAAATAGGTGAAGCTAGTTTATATAAGTTGATTAGCATTTTTTTCTTTCTCTGTAAACCTGTCCGATTTAGAAGGTGCTTAGCAAATGCTCCAGAAAGATACCCAGGATTCATTCATTTGAAAATCATTCTTTGTTCTGTTCTTCCCAGTGTGTGAGATATTCTAAGTGCCATTCTACTATGAAAAGTTTGTCCTTTGTTGCTTGCTGACATTTGAATAGTTTGTTGTGTAACGGTCTTTTTCCTTTTGTCTTCAAGGAACTCTTTCCAGTTAACAGGCAGAGCGTGGATCATTTTGCTAAATACTTCACTGACGCAGGCCTGAAGGAGCTTTCCGACTTCCTCCGAGTCCAGCAGTCCCTGGGCACCAGGAAGGAACTGCAGAAGGAGCTCCAGGAGCGTCTTTCTCAGGAATGCCCAATCAAGGAGGTGGGGACCTGGACTTATTAGATCACTGCAGAACACACGAATGAGAGGATTAACATCGAAGAGCATAGGCTCGACCTTCCTTAAGAAGACCCACCTTTGTTTACTGCTGGGAACTTAATGTACCTGTTCATACCATCTCAGTTGCAAAGTGTTGATTCAGAATCCTCTGGCATATTCCAGAAATTAATGGTTATTTCCACACAAGTGATTTATTTTATCACACTACTGTGATTAACAAAATATTTTCATCTGTCGAATAGATTTGCCATCTACTGTCAGTTATGCACCATTATATGGTGGTTTTTCCGTTTAATCACAGATAATATAATACGGTTAAGTATGTGATTAGTGTTTGAAATCAACACTATGTATTGCGTGCATCACTGGGTATGAATATGTAGGGTTTTGTTTTGTTTTTTTAATTTTAAGACAAAAATTTTTGATGGTTTTTGAATTCGTAGCATGGGAAAAGACCAGTTGAACCAATGACTTGTTTGATCATAGTCACAATAACTGCATATCCCTATGATATAAATACTACATTTTTTATAATAATAGTTCATGTAGCTATCGCTGTATCTTTTTAAATTTTTAAAAAATTCCTGCCTGAAGAAAACTTCCCATGTGAACTTTAACAACTTTTATGTGACGATCCAAAAATTAAATGAAGTCCTTTCCTTTTGCCATTTACTTCTGAGTCCCAAACCCTTACCACTGTATGTGCCCTAAGCCCCACATGGGACCTTACATGGCTTAAGACTAGAGAATTCTAGACCGATGCCATCCAGCAGATGGAGGTGTTGGAACAAAAAATATTTCTAAGTCTCATGGCAGTAAGGTCAGCATTATAGTCAGTAACATTTCTCCAAGCAAGACCTTGTGATTTTCCATGAGGTGGAAAACAAAAGCAAACCCAAAAAATGCTGTGACGCTTCTAGATGCAGAGATGTCGCCTGTCTTTGCATCTTTCTCTGGCCAGCGCAGTCTCTGGGAATTAACCAGAGCTTCTTAACCCATTCCTGATACCTCTGCAACCCAGGCCAACAGGAAAGAAAAGAATGTATTTTCACTAAAAAGGGGCAATGAGGGGAGTGGTAGTTGTGCTATTCACCAAGTCGTAGTGTACTTGAGGTATCGATTATGGTGTTTTATCACTTTTGAGGACGTAACCTCAATTTGTGGTTGTATTTCAAAAGGAAAAGTTTTTTTCCTGACAAGTGTGATATAAAATACATTAGGCTAGGCAGACCTTTTATTCCATACTGTCAGATTTGAGGATAAATTTGCATATCAAACATAATTTTAAGGGGAAAATAACCTGTCCCGTGTTGCTGCATTAATATGTATCATATAAAAAATGGCTTTGGCACTTATATTTGGCAGCTTATTTTCATGGCTCATGAGAGTCTAAAATAATAATTAAGAATGAATTCTGGTAAATCGACTTGTACAAACCCAACACGTTATTCATCTAGAGGTTTAAAGTCGTGAGTTGGAGGTAAAGATTCACAGCTCTGTGAGCTAATTTCAAACCCAGAGAGTCAAACCAGCTCAAGTCGTCTGTTCTGCTGGACCCAAAGGGGTGCTGCATGTAAAAGAATAACTTCTAAGAAACAAAGATTCCCTCTCACTTCCTATTATCCAGCAGCTCCTGGCCAGAGATAAGCCTATTAATTTTGGAACTAAAAATAAATCTGCTTTGAGAACAAATCATTGTGTTTTTCCTCCCTCTTGTAATCTGAGAGTATGTACTGGGAAGGGAGGGGCTGAGCAGAATATTTATCCACCCAAAGCCTTTTACTGACCAGGCATGGTGACAGGGAAACTGCCATCTGCCTGTTAACTCTCTGACCCCTTTTTCCATGAAATGTAGGTGGTGCTCTATGTTAAGGAAGAAATGAAGAGGAATGATCTTCCGGAAACAGCAGTGATTGGACTTCTGTGGACCTGTATAATGAATGCTGTTGAATGGAACAAGAAGGAAGAACTCGTTGCAGAGCAGGCCCTTAAGCATCTGAAGGTACGGGATCAACAGGAAACAGTCTTGGCCACAGACCAATTGTAGCTCTTAACTGTATGATACGTGGGTTCTAACTGCCGTTCACCCAGGTTTGGGCCAAAGGCATTATTTCCCGTCTAAGAGTAAAGTCTTACTAAACACAGTGTCAGAAAACACACAGAATAATTAAAGTTAAAGAGAAATATGGTCTAACTGTATTGGTTTCCTTTTACATGACAAAAATTCCTGGTAATATTTTTGTTTAAGTAAACTACAAATTGGCATTAGAATTTGAAAAGTATCTACTCCTGAAACCAGTATTGTACTGTATGTTAACTAAACAGCATTTAAATAAAAATTCCAAAACATTTGAAAAGTATCTGAGTGGTGGAAGAGATCAACTGTGTAAATAGCATGTTTTTGAGCAAGGATAAATGTTTTTGCTTTCATTAATTGTCTTCTCCCTATAAAACTATATTAAGATGAGTGAAAGACATATCTTCCTTCAGAGTTTACATTTGAATTGGGAAGTTAAAGACTACCTAGTAGAGGGGCACCTGGTTAGCTCAGTCGGTTGAGCATCCATCTCTTGATTTCACCTCAGGTCATGATCTCACGGTTCATGGGATCAAGCCCCACCTTGGGCTCTGCACTGACAGCACAGAGTCTGCTTGGGATTCTCTCTCTCCCTCTCTCTTTGCCCCTCCCCTCCTCACATGCACACACTCTTTCCTTCTCTCAAGATACAAATAAATGTAAAATAAAAAGACTGCCTAGTGGAAACTAGGTAGCATACAAATTAAAGATAATCCTCTGTGTTTAGAACAGAGGAGTGAGTGAAATCTGCAGGTTAAGTTGATCAGGGAAAGCTCCTTGGAGGAGATTTGTGTTGAAATGAGAAAACGTTGGTTCAACATCAGTGACTAGAAGCCAAGGACAATTAGGACAAAGGGAACAATAGGAATTAAGCCATAAAGATGACCTGTGAGGGTGTCTGGGATGTCTAGGGAAAGAACTCCACACTCCACCAGTACTAAATGTAGCCACCCCAAGACCTCACTCTGCCTCCTTTTCATAGTGCCCTTTAAACAGTAGCATAAGCTACCTTTAATAGTGTCAGAATTTTATTTGGTCTCTTCTTTTAGTGGGTACATTGAGAGAAATCTGATAAGATGCTGGGCTAAAAAATTAATTTTGATTGGACACAATGTTCTAATGAGATAACCCTTAAAGTGAAAGCTTCCTAAAGAAATCTCCAGATTTCTGTTGTGTTTCAAGTATTGTCTCTGTACCTCCCAAGAAAGTTAATGGTTGGTTTTACTCCCCACTTGTATTTCAGCAATACGCTCCACTCCTGGCTGTGTTCAGCTCCCAAGGCCAGTCAGAGCTGATCCTCCTCCAGAAGGTTCAAGAATACTGTTATGACAACATCCATTTCATGAAAGCTTTTCAGAAGATCGTGGTTCTCTTTTATAAAGGTATCTATCCATATTGCCCTACCGCTCTGTTTCCCTGTTTTGTTGAAGGTCTTTGAGGGCCAGCGCAAGGGCTAAGGCAGAGGGAGACATGGGATTCATGCTAAACTTTGTAAGTTTTAGTGAGACAGCCGTATTATGTTAGAAGAGAGAAAGTGTATATGCCACATATTCATGGTCTCAAGAACCAGCCTGATGAAGCCCCTGGGCCCATTGCCAGAAGACTACTGATAAACCGGTTATTATTTTGCGGGAGGGTGGGGGGCTGGTGAAAAAGACTGTAATAACAGAAAGTAATTAGGTCTATTTTTGAATTGTAAGAATTAGCTCTAATAACTATAATTACCAAAGTCTGCCTATAGTATATTGAGATCTTCTCAGATGCCATAAAGCTGACTAAAATTATTGAAATAATTAGCTTTTTACTTTGTATTTTAATTATTTGGCCCAGCCATTCTCCTGTTTTTCAAGGAAATGACTATTTTTAGATTTCCCTTTACTGTCTTTTCATTATATTTGTAAGGATTAGGTTGTCATGGCAACTGGCACTGCCTTCAATAAATGAATGCTATTAGGGTTTTAACTGATCTCCATGTCTATACCTACAGTATATAAAAAATAATCCTGGACTATTCTTTGGTCTGAGTTCATGTAGTTTTATGGGGGAGGAGGGAAGAACACTTAGGAAATAACACATTTTGAACATTATAAAATGTTTGTTAGAAGGTACGGCAATCTTAAATGGCAATTTAATATAGAAAGAAAAAGTAAAGTACAAATTAACATCAGCCAAATCTTTCTTTTCCTTTTGATGTGTTCTTAAATTTGTCTACTTTTTTAATGTGTATTTTGAGAGAGAGAGAGCGAACAAGCAAATTGGGGAGGGCGGGAGAGAGAGAGGGACGCAGAGGATCCAAAGTAGGCTCTCTGCTGTCAGCAGGGCTCAACCTCATGAACTGTGAGATCATGACCTGAACCAAAGTCCAGTGCTCAACCACTGAGCCACTGAGGCACCTCTTACATTTGTCTATCTTGGATGATCATTTGGGCGAATTAGTATAAAAATTTTACATCATTTATTAATGACTACTTTATAGATGTTAATGGCACTTCACAGAGCCTTAACTGGCCGTCAAGATTCTTCAGATGGATATATATCTTGCCCCAGGTGTTTGGGTGATAATTTACTTTCTCAGCATTAAGGTATTCGGCACAATCTTTGTTATATCAGTAGGAGAAAGTACTGACTGCTAAGTCTCATTTGAAGTAATTTGGGTTTTCCTCCGGCCAGATCCAAGTTAGGTCCTCTTGGACATGGTCATGAGAGTCAACATCCTAAAACTAGGGCATAAATGGTCTCCATGGTTACCCATCAGAACCAAATCTGCAGATCATATTGCCAGCCCACCTTCTTTAGCAGCCAAGGAGAAACCATGCCCATCTAGCCTATGGCCATTCTGTCCACATGCACCATAGCAGACTCCACTGTAAACAGGTAGAGAGACCTCTGAAATTTGTTTCCCATTTGCTTTGTGAGTGGCTAGTATTTTCCACTACAGAAAAGCGAACTGTTTATAAACTAGTGCCTAAGCCCACAATTTGCTTTCTTGTCATTTAATAGCTAACCCAACCGGTGTCTCTAACCAAATCTTTTTGTAACTGAAACATATGTGTTGGAACTTTATCTGTAGGAGCACCTCATTTTATTATTGAACTTATTCACCAAAACAAACAAAAAAACCCTACTTTTTTGTCAGTAATGGCATCTATTAAAACACTTTTCCAAATTTCTCATTTTAACCATCAGTGTCAACATCCTTCCCCGTTGACCTCCTTTTAAAAACTACTGACAAAACCGGTTGCTTTCAGTTATTTCCTCTTGTTCGGCCCCATATGCCAAGGAACAGTGACCAGAAATGATAAAATAACCAAGAAATGGGTACCAAAAAGTAAAAAAGGAGAAGAATAAACTCTTCCTTAGGCCATTGATAGCTAGGTGGTCACTTTTTAAATAACCAAAAGTTAGTAAGGTCTGTGGAAAGTATGAGCAGACCCACGGGAACATAGGAAGGGGTCAATGTCAATTTTATTCTGGCCTAGTTCTTTTTGTAAATGAAATCAGGAAACTGTAAAGTGAATACCGAAAATAAATCATTGAGAAGTTAAAACTAAATGTTATTTTCTAGGTAACTTCATAATTTCGCACAAAATTGTATATCTAGTCTTTTTCTGAAAGAAGTAATTATATATATTTTTTTTTTCTTGGAAACATGGAATCCCCGAGGAGCGATTATTCCATCCCATTTTTTTTT